TATTGCGATAAAATAACTGCTCGTGTGTCAATATAAATATGTTTCATCGCTCTTGAAAAATAATCGCGCGGAGAAAAAAATCGCCCTTGTATTTCGGGCCTAAACACACTTTAAACAAATTTTTCTCACTTACATATTTGACGCTTGATATTTCTCTCACATAGAGAAAGTATCAAAAATACTATAGTATTCAATATTGAATACTAAGAAAGCCGATATTGTTTATTGCATATTTGTTAATTTTCACAAATTACATATTTGTTAATATTCGCATATCACTTGTACACGGAAGTTCATCAAGTTTCAAAGACTCGCGTAATGTCTTCCTCCAGTTGGTGTCGTACACAATATTGTTTTTCGGTATCGATTTCATTACATTGTCTACGAAGTTGGGCGGGGAAGAAGAGTTGGGCGAGCGAAAAGTCATCCGACGGGCCGCGACACCAGCGTGTCACTTTTTTAACGACGGCACGACACGAAGTAACTATACGGGTGACAAAAGAAAGTCGCTGAAGTCTCATCGCGTGCGTCGAGTCATAACTTCGCGTCACGGTCGAACGTTATACTTCGCTCGTCGTTACGATCGACGAACACGCGACTCTCCGTTACGAAGCGCGACTCGCGAGGCTCGTCGAGAAAATGACAGCCGGCCGGCCGGCCGGCCGTGTCGTTTCTGTGATTTACGACGAAGATAGCAAGGGCGTTTCATCGATTACGGTCATTTAACGGCTCGTTGCTAAGTATATATTGTGCAAATCGTCTCTCGCTTTGAAAAACAAACTCGGGTAAAAAAATCGACGGGCATTTATATTGCAACAAAAATTAAGATACAAAAAATTAAGATAAGTGGAAATTAATAAAAATAATAAAATCAATACGCGCGCGCGTTACACAACTGCGGAAGACATTTTTCCGTGGCTTGCCCCGTCATCTTCTGTCGCTCGAAAATCTAACGCGTTGTAAATAAACTCGTCAATACGTAACGATAATTGTTGTAAATATAAACTTGTTAAAAACTATACGATTTCTTCTTCTCTTTAAAGATGATCGATTGGTAACAGAGCGCGAAATATTTCCATCAAGCACCGAGAATTCGCAAGAAGGATGCGCGTGTTAGCAAACTCTGTTACGAAAGAAAACGATTTGGGTTATGGAGCTGTTCGTGCCAGGCTCTGGTCTTCTCGAGGGCTCGAATTGTCAGTAGAACGAGCAGTCGCGAACGAGCGCGTGAATGATGGGTGAGCGAAAAGCTGCTCCGAATGAGCAGTCAGCTCGAGAAGAGGGCTGAGAGAGAGAGAGAGAGAGAGGAGAGGGGGAGGTTTGCCAGTTCGCAAGCAATTATCGCGCGAATCGCGCCACTTGGCGGCACGTTAGATTGCTCGACGTTGGCTATATCGATCTCGTTTGGCTCATTTCGCGGCTCAACTTTGCGGTGCGCGATCGATGATAAGAGCCGCTAACCAACCCGACTTATCCCATCCCGCGCTTTACGTGTGTATCTCTATTCTCTCTCTCTCTCTCTCTTTTCACGTCCGTTCTTGTAATATCGCGATTGTCGTATATTTTCGCGAGAAGCGCAGTGCGGAGATTGACGTTTTCTCGTTTTACTTCTCGACAGAGATAAGACATTTAGCAAGTGCTTTTTTTTTTAATTAAAAAAAAAAAAAAACAAAATAAGAATTTTCACAAAGATATCAGGAAGATTATATTTTAACGGTAGGTCTCACCTCACGCTATTATTATATTCATTTAACTGACCGGCAATCGCGAGAAACCACATACAAAGTAAGAGACAAATTAAGTCTCTCTTCCTATACGGCGAAACGCACACCGTACGCCGGCGTTAATTTTCTTCAGTTTTGCAATTACTCGCGCCTATAATCACTCCCCCTTCCTCTCTCATGTCGGACATTCCGATGTCGGTGAACCGACACCGCCAAGAGAGATCCTCCGCGATTATAATTAACCGATCGAATTGAATGAAAAAGACGAGGCGCGTCTCACGCGACTCGTGTTTCAGCGCGTGTGGTGCTCTCTCTCTCTCTCTCTCTCTCTCTCTTTCTCTCTCTCTCTCTCGAGTCTCGCGTTCTAAAAACGCGAAGAACACGAGGCGCACACGGTAGTTATACCCCCACAGTCTCTCGACATAACGACGTCTACCGTGGCGGGCTACCCGTGGTATCGTAATATCGTGTATACGTACATATATAATGCGACGGCAGACAGCGCTACAGGGACCTTCGCTTTCGCGAACACGAGAGAGAGAAAGCCCGCTTACGTGCTTACGCGCGCCTTATAGCGGGCGGATCACCATGGAAACTAAGAAAATTTCATTCTGCAACGTTCCCGTTTTTCGCAGAAACATTTCGTATCGTTGGAAGAGGGTAAAGCGCTCGGGAGATACGTTTTTCGCCCTACGTGATCAACATGCAAATGTTACAATGACCAGAGATGTACAATACATCACTACCTGGACAATTATTAAATAAATTATTATATTGTTACAATATATTTTTATATATTTATATGTTATAAATATATATAATATATTTTAAATTAATAAGTAAATAGTTAATATACATTATAAATAAAATAAAAATGTTACTTATATTTACTTATTTATTAAAAAAATAAATACTAATATTAACAAAATAAATATTAATTACATTTACTTAATTGTTTATACATTTATATTATATCCTGCTAGAAAAAGCGTGTGTAAATAATCACAACTGATTCTCTCAATTCTGATTGTTGCCACTTTTATCTTGACGCTGATTGAGCGTTTCTGGGGGATGTGTTTTTCGATTCATGTCGTACATATCAAGACGCACGGTAGTTGCGCCAAATTCACGCGCAACGAAGTCAAACGGCGCGAGGCACTCATGTCTCTTATACGCGAAATTCATGCGATTGAGAAGTAAAAAGATTTTCATATAGCGATCAAGGATGACTGAACCGATCACGTTTGTTTTAGTCTAAATTACTTCAAAACAAAACATTAAAAAACAAAAGTATTCTTGCATTTTTTAAAGTTACGTGACAGAAAAAAGAGGAAAAACACGTGACTACAGTCATGTGACTTAAATATATATATATATATAATATATATTATACATATAAATATATATCTTATATATATCTAATTTATTATATATTTATAATATTATATCTTATAATATTATATTGTATTATATGTATTGTTTCTATACTACGGTAAAGTCACTGACCTTGGTCACGTGACTACAGTGAGGTCACTGACCCCGGTCGCGTGACCGCGCCGAGGTCACTGACCCCGGTCGCGTGACCGCGCCGAGGTCACTGACCCCGGCCGCGCGACCGCGCTGAGGTCACTGACCCCGGTCGCGTGACCGCGCCGAAGTCACTGACCCCGGCTGCGCGACCGCGCCGAGGTCACTGACCCCAGTCGCGCGACCGCGCCGAGGTATTATAATATATATAATATTCTTTTTTTTACTCTTTTTCCTGTCACGTGACCTTACTTTAGTCACGTGTTGTTTTTCTACTCCTCTTTCTTTCTATTTTTCGAGCTTGATTTTCATGCCTTATTTCTGTTATTTTATATATATATATCATATGTATTATATGGTTTGTAAGACGTACATACTAGCTGTCATATACATGTCGCGGTGACAGAGTATATTTATTGGCACAACATGTTAAAATAAAAACAATAACAGCTTGCGCGTAGCGCGCGTCTGTGTCGTGCTAGTAAGAGTAAAATGCGAGTAACTGATATTTAAAAACGTATCTCAGACCTACTTAAAACATTGAGAAATGTTATGTGTTTGATATTTACACTATCTAATAAATGTCTCCGGTCAGTTGAGGACGGTTACCTTGGCTCTGTTTTACACGATGCAATTGTACTTCTACTTTCTTGCGACGCGGATATATAGAAGAACGTCCGAGACACGTCAGAGCTCGTTGACGAGCAAAAATCGCAATGTCGTGAATAATGCAGAATTAATTCCGGGATGTTAAAGGACTACCATGCGACGAGTCGTGCAATTTGGGAAAAGCCCTCTCCCCCCCGCCGGCTTCGTAAGTCTCGAGGCAGCGGCTTGCTTCCTGCCAAGTCGCTAAAAGCCCTGTAAATTATTGCTGAAAGTTTACAGCGTCCGCTGCAGGACGCGAACGCGCGAGCGCACGCGCGCGCGCACCGCCCTGCACCCCTAATTGTACTAATTATTATCCCGCCGTCACAGGCGGACGAGGGAAACCGGAAAAGTCGGACGGGGGGTTTCGTGACGTTGCGGCTGTGTTTTATGGTCGACAGCACGAAATCTCCGATAAATGTGATCCGAGAAGTTCGAGGCGCGCGTCTGACAATTTCCGAATTGAAATATCGCGAAGTGACGCGAAACTCTCGTTTCGTTATTCTCGCAATTGATTTCGAGAATAAAAATAAATTATTGATTGTTTTGAAAAAAACAAAACACAAACATTCATCGAGAACAACGAGATCGCTCTTGAGAAATTTACACAGAGACGATTGAAAAAATCTCTGCGGGGTTTCCGTTCGTCAAGTTCGTTTCCCCGTGAAGTTCGTGCATAATCGCGGACGTGTATGCGGTATACAGGCAAAATATATATAGGTATATCGAAATGCCGTGGCAGGTGTGTGCACACACAGAACATTCGATAATACGAGACCGAGGGACGAGGGTGGCCGCACGCCGACGGCCGAGCACGCCAGTCCGTGCTCAGACGTGACTCGCGACGCAACCCTCATTTTTTGATCGCCCCCGTGCATCATTCTTCTTCCCTCTATTCCGTGTGTTTCCGTCCCGAAATCGACTGATTTTTTATTCGTGCGGTAAACCTGTCGCGTCGATGTCGCTCTCGCCGAAAATCCCCCCTCAATACGCCGTCAACCGCGCACGCGTTGACAAGAACCAATAAAAGTTAATAAAATCACGTACTTGACCGAACTAAAAACTGAAATCTCTTCTTCTGGTAAAACGAAAAAAGAACAAATGGATCAGATCGGTATGTATTTGATACGCTGAAGTGACATTCATCAACTTGTCCGATTTGAAAAAAACTCGATGTAATGACAAAAGTATATAATTAATTATTAAATCAAGAAATGGGACATTGAGAGAGCCAATACGCTTAATGTAAGTGCGAGATTTTTAACGTGTAAATTAAACTTGGTCTTTTAGCCAAGACGTCTTTTTTGCAATAAATTTTTTATAAGTTTCACTGGAGAATTAAATGAGTAATTCATGTATGTGTAAGTAAAATCTTATTAATTGTTATTCAATTTGAATTTTCTTTGTGTACTAACTTACACGTTAAAAATATATTTCCTACGTACATCCAGGCGATTTTCTTGATCTTCTTGATTTAGTTTAGATCTAATAGACTCGTATTTTAAGTATTTATTATTATGTTTTAAGTATTTATGTTTTAAGTATTTATTATTATGTGTAAATTATAAATCAATCAATTGATTGATAAAAGTGATAAGAGTGATCGCGCAACGCGTCTAATTTTTAATGCGGACAATGTTGTTTATCGTTATTAAAATTTGTTAGACGACGTGAAAAGATGACAATTAAGTAATAATTACCAATCTCACTTTTGACGTATCATTGTATTAATTGAGCAATTAAAAATGTTGAAGACATCGCGATAGCTTCGGCAACAAAAGTGATTATTAACTGATTGTTAACTCGCACGATTCCCGCCAAGTCATCTGTTGTGTTGCAGAGGCGGATGCAGTTATTTTGAAAAACAAGAGTGAAATACAGCGCTGTGCGTGTGTGTATGTGTGTGTGTTGCTTATGACTTTATCTGCATTGTGCAAGTCATCGATCTGCGCAACATAGTCCGCATGATTGACTCGATCTCTCTCTCTCTTTCTCTCTCTCGTGGCTTTTTTTGCATGTCGTCCGTATGAAAAACGTCAAGTCTACCGTTGCGTTATTGATGATTTCTACGTTGTCAGCGAGACTGTTGACTATAATAAAAAAAAAAAAAAAAAAAATCCGATTCTTGAAAACAGATTCGATAGCCGGCTATCGAGAGTCCTATAATTACCGAGCGATAAAAACGCTGACGACTCCGCGAACGTGGGATACGCTACCTATTACTTTTTGCTACCGATGTATTTATTTATAAAACCATTGTTCCCCTAAATAAAGAAACGCGACAATCGGACGTGTTCGCAATCAACGACGTGGCATTGAAGAGGTCGGTGCGAACCCGCCATGCGCATTCGCCGTATCGCGAATATTTAATTTTTAGAATTATTATATAAAATTATTATTTGATTTCATTAAAACTCAGTTTTAATAAAATTTAATTTAAATTTTTTTAAATGTAATATAAAACGCATTCAATCTTAATTCTGATTGTTTTTGACCCTAAAACGAAATCTTGGGCTTGAAGTATTTTTATTTTAAAATATCCGAAAAAGTTTTCAAAAATTCCGACGTTTTCTTTCGAGAGTCTACTAATACGCTCTGTTGTTTATTTAAAAAAAATATATAGTTTTACATAATATATTTATTTTTAATGATTATTGAAGAGAGTTTCTGAAGAGGTGTCGGATAAAAAAGATCCGAAGATTAATTACATTTGTTGCCTGTGTGTGTGTGTGTGTGTGATTTACCGCATTTGTTCAGTTTTGAATCACCGGTTGACGGCGGTTTGCACGAAACAAAGGCGGCGAGCGAGAGCATCGGGACAAATCGCGTTGCGTAAGACGTCGCCACCGCCTTTTTATTTCCCGGAAATCTCTCGACCGGATTTAACATCGAGTCTGCCGGGCAAGCAAGAGAGGATGACAGGAGCCGATCGCGTATATAGCACATCGCGCCCGAATTCGCGCGCGAGTGTGTGGTACGGGCGTGCGAGCGCACGCGAGAACGTGCTATCCTTGATACTTAGCGATTGATTGGCAGGATTGCCAATTTGGTCAATTACCGGCGAGCTTCGCGGAACAACAAGTCGAAATTACATGGTCGGCGCTTAAGTTTGCGCGAGACGGAAACTATGTGTACGTACACACACCATTTCCTTCTCTCTCTCTCTCTCTCTTTCTCTTGCTCTCTTTCTTTTCTCGACGGTTGCTGCTTCTCCTGAATTCGATCGATGCTCTTCAATCGGACGGAATTTTAAAGCCAAGTTCAACTTTCGAAGCGGACTCATCAAATAAAGCGTGTAAACGCGTCGAATGTTTCGACGCATTGAAATCGTTACGCAGCGCAATCGCGCGCCGAGCCATTGCGCGCGGAACGTGAATTGCGTCTTCGGTATATACTAGTATATTTGACACCATCGCTCACGGCGATACTAACTGTCCGACAGAACCAACTGCACCAAACTGCAAATTGCCACGTTCGCCACGTTAACGTACGGCAATTTGACGTGTACGCAGCAGCACGTCAAGTTTGTGCTCTATTGTTCCATACACGTTCACTTAAGACCACCTGACGCAAAACTTGGGCGCACTCGGTAAGACGGCACAATACGTCACCGTGTATTTTGCGGAAGCGCATTTTTAACACAAGTCGATTTTTCCACACACTTGCGCATTTATTTTAACTCCCATTTCTTTTCTCCCGCGTTCTCGCTTTTCTTCTTTTCTTTTTCTCGGCCGTATTTTCTTCGCGCAAACGGAGGAAGCTCCGCGCGCGGTCGTGACTTTTCCACGCAACGGAAAGTCGTAAACTCTCCCCCCACAGGGAGGGGGGAGGAAAGGGAGGGAAGAGGACGGTGCCGGTGACTATCGATTTCACGTGTTTCCTTTCGGAAATTGCCTTGTTTTTTTCTTCCCTCTTTGTCTTCCTTCTTCTCCACCTCTCTTTTCTATACCCGCTGTCTTTTCACTCTCTTCTCTTCCCCCGGGGTCACGGCGAAGATCGATACGATATCACAAACCTTCACGGATCGTCTGGGTGGTCCTTTTCGCGCACAGCGCGCGCGACGACTTCTGGGACTGATTTAATTCGGCTACGCGAAGCGGTTTAACGCTGCTCTCTTCTGTGAATTTATCGTCCGATGTGTGTATCTCGTTCTTTTTAAATTCTCCCTCCCACGGCGAGCAAAATCTGCGAGCGGAACTCGCTTCGAGAATCGGATCGATCGTGCGGAAGAGTTGAGATAAAGTTGCAAACAAGCGAAGAGAATTGTTGACAAACAAATGAGATTAATAAATTTACATGATAGATGAATTTTTCTTTAAAATAAATTTCTGTAAATGTCAAACGAGACACTCCTCACCTTGTTGATATTTTTTAACGCGGAAGAGGAGATCCGCGGCGTGACTTTTCCAATTCTCAATCACAGATCGCACAAACTTCCCATCGAACTATTTGTCAATCGATTTCCCAGCCTCGACTTCTGCGGTTCCGTTCGTGATTCTCTCTTAACAAATATCAATTTGACCAGCCCGGCCCGGTTTCTTCGCGTGAGCGGAAGTTATCCCGGAAGATGCGGGAAAAGAAAGAAAGAGAAAGGAAAGAGAAGGCTGCGTGAGAGAGAAAGAGAGAGAGAGAGAGAGAGAGCGCTTTAAATCGCGAAGCGCTCGCTCGAGCCGTCCGGGGTAATCCAGACAGATGGGACTCGTTAATGGGACGCGCGAGTAATTTGCAAGAAATCTAATAACACCGTGGTCTCTCCCACCGCCCTATAACTCGTGGCCTGACTTTCCACCTTGCAACCCTCTTTCTCCCTCCTGCCTTTCCCTCGTCTCATCCTCACGGTCGATTCTCTCCTCGTTCCAGAACGAGTCTAATGACAATACACGGGCGCCGTGTGCTCGCGAAAATTAAAATTCGCCTGGGGGTCGTTCTCCGTAGCTAGCACTGGTCTCTCTCTCTCTCTCTCTCTCTCTCTCTCTCTCGCCTCGCCTCGTGTGTGGGTGCACACGGTGGTGTGTCCAGGTGGTCGTGAGAAATCACGTGTAACGATGGCGCCGATACATTCGCGAGATATATCCCGAGAATACACAGCGTCGCGCGAGAAATTAAATTTGTAAATAATTGGTTATTTATGTTTTATTATTTTTATTTTACAAATACTTATTCGCTACTTCAGTTTTAACGGTTTAATTCTAAAAAGATGGTTTAGTTCCGTGTCTCTTTTTTGTAAATAAATAAAAATTGTAAATAAAATAAAATATTTCAAAAAACTTTGTTGCATCATTTTTTAAATAAAATATTTTTTTTTCATATTGTAAGCTTTGATTAACGGCAAACATGTCGCCTTGTTCTATTTTAATTGTTTATTGTCTTTACAACTAATTAGATACCCGATCTCTATTCTAAATTTTTATCTCGTTTTTCGATCTTTATTTTAAATTTGCTCAAAAAAAGCGATAAATATCGACAAGATAAACGTCTCCATTGCTACTGCGTGTTCGCGCACGTGTGTGCGTGCGTGCACCGCAGTCGCGTAGGAAGGAGAAAAGACAACGCGGGAGAGCGCGGAACTCGTTAAGCAGTTTGCGGTTTGTCCCGTTCTTTTTTCTCATCCGGGCGCGCCTTTAGCGTAAACATATTCCGCGAAGAGATCAGCATCTCTCTCTCTCTCTCTCCCCATGTTCGTATTCGCGCTTTTTCTTCTTCTTTATCTCTCCAACCCAGTCCCGGTGTCTTTCTTTCTCCGCGCGCGTCTTTGTTTCTTATTACGCGCCGTCGTTTTGGATATTTTCGGTCACCCACGATGCATGCACGATCGATCGAGTCTAAATCTCAGTTGAGTCATATTTAAAAGACAAACTCCATTAAATCGCAGCTTTGTCAAATAAAAGAGACGTTTCTCACCGAAGATAATTATTAATCCTCTATAATTCGAATTTTTTTTGCGAGTAGAAAAAAATTTACATAACGTGAGACCAGCAATAAGAAACATCAATCTCTGGATACAAATCAACGATGAATTTATATTTGTCAAAGATTTTATGTTTTATTTATTTACTAAAACAATTACGTAAGATGATAAAAAAAAATAAACTAAAAGGATATATTAAAATATACTTTATGTAACGCGAAACCAATCAAAAACTCAATCTCCCGATATAAATCGACAATGAATTTACAATTTTCAAACATTGTGGTTTTTTATTTATTTGTTTCGTTTTCGACAATCTCCATGGAAGGTGAAAGAGGTGACAGAACAAAGTGCATCCACACATCGTGACTAAAAATGAAATCGAACTAAAAGAATGTCAATGTATCAGTGACTTCGGAGTTACACGGCGTTGTAGAAAGTTAATTATAATATTTAATTAGCTATTATATTTTTGCAAATGGAAAAAACAAAATGTAATACCGTTCTCCAAACTTACTGTGGACTCAGAAAAAAACTCGTTTTAAATCTGATTGGCGATCACAGTTCGTGAATTTTATTTTGCGAGATAACGCACACACAGAGAGAATCTCTCTCGCGTTCGTTTCTAAATCGCGAGAGACGAGCGCGACGGAACATTTAGCTCTCTTCAACTGCTATACACGGCGAGAATGCGGTCCTATGATCGCGAAAATATACGATCAATATACGACATACGATCGAGCCGTGCACACAACACACACCGTGGCGATCCGGCCAGATTAGACGCCGATTAAAATTCACGGCGTGTCCGGGCAGCATAATTTGATTTCGTAGGTGTTCGCGTACAGATCGAGTTACTCGCAAACCGAGAGAAAGAGAGAGAGAGAGAGAGAGAGAGAGAGAGAAAGACATCGCGCGCCTATTGTGCCCCTTTCTTTTTTCTTTCTCTCTCTCTCTCTCTCTCTCTCTCTCTCTCTCTCTCTCTCTCTCTTCGTTCGGCGCGAAAGACGCCTTTCTTTATTTAGACCGCAACCGGGACAACAAACTTGACGACTATTAGAATTGAAACGCGCTCATTATCGATTCGCCACGTCTAATCGAGCACGTCTCTCGGAGCGCGTCTCTCTCTCCGTACGGATTCCGTGCGGATCGGGTTACACACGAGCGAGGTCTCTCGATCATTTCGTTCGATTAGGCACGAGATCGTCGCTGCGGTGGCACTTTTCGCGACGGAAACCTCAATCGTCCGGCGGCGGTTCATTCGGCTATGTAAATTGCGCGTCTCGAAAATACCGGTGCGATATACCGGATCGGCACAAAGGATTTTTATTCATGTTGCTTAAAACAGGTGAAATAAAACAACATATATGCAAATATATTCAAAATGTATAAAATGAGGAGTGACCTCGGGTTCGCGTCGCGGTTGATCTCTTTTATTAACTTTTTAAACTTTAATTAAGAGAAAAAGACTCAAAAAGAAATTAAAAAACAATTGATATATATATTAAAAAATAATATATGATATATATATATTTATAAATAAAATAATAATATTTATAAATAATATATGATATAAATAATAATATTTATAAATAATATATGATATATATATTTATAAATAAAACAAATATTAAATGTTTGACAATATTGCAATACTTTAGTTAGGCGAAATTTAATCTACCGAGTCGGCGGATCGAACGGCGCGCTCGCGCGTTGATTAGTTAGGACAAAAAAAATTCACCTCATAATTCCTCTCAATTCTGGAATCAGGTTCGAGTCAAACTAATTAAGCGCGTTCGTCAATCGTATCTCTCTCGTCGTAGAGATTTGTATCGTGCGATTCCGCATCGTTTTGGGTTAGCGGGTGGTCCGCCGTCGGCCAAGAGAGAGAGAGAGAGAGAGAGAAAAGGAGGTGGCGGCGGGCTCCTCCGTCAGGAGGACTAGACCGCATTAAGAGTCGGACAGCATTAAAGCGTTGTTTAGCAGGCTATTTTGAATTTTAATTCCCGCGGCCGGCTACGTAACCGAGGTGTGGAATAGATTACTTTTCGCTCACACGACTGTCAGCTACTTGCCGCGGGGCCCAGACTGACTGACTGACTGACTGACTGACTGACTGACTAAATCGCTGAGCGACAGATCACTTCCCTCTCTTACACACAAATGTATTCTCTCATGTTTTGTTTCTCTCCCGCCCGTCCTCCCTTCGTCACTTTCTTCTAGCACAACTTTTTTTATCATCACTTCGCTCGTTTGTCTTCTATAATATTTTGTTTACAAAGTACGCGAGAAAAAATGTTTTGCCATCACGTAGACAGCGCGATAGAATTTGCCGAGTCTCTGCTACAATTTTTTTTGCCTTACGATAATACTTTTTTTTTTGATAAACTTTTTTCTTGCTGTCCATACAAGCAATTGGTATTTTTGCCGTTCTAGCACAAAACGCTTTTTTCTATGTACGATAAAACCAATCGCGTTCGCGTCTGTTGAATTGCAGAAAGGAAAAAAACAGCCTTTGACAGACACGACGAAGAATCGAGACCCGCTCGAAAATGAAGATGCCATCGTGTGAGATCGCATCGTTCCGAGCGTTCGTCCGAGAAAAAGCCGCGCGACCGCGGTTCAAGGTCGCTCGTCTGGACCAAGTTCGGAGCTCGCTGCTGCCGCGATAAAAAGAGAAGAGGGATGATCGATGGTGAGAATCGACCGGACTAGTCACTGTGGCTTCGTACAGGAGAAGACATCACCTTGCGGAGGAGGTGCCAGGACTCTACATTCGGCGCCTGACCCTCGAGGATCCCAGGAGAAGAGAACCGTCCGGTTCAAGGTCGCAGTCCCCGGCGCGCCATATCTGTCATCCTCGTAGCGGTTACGCGCCCTTGGCGCGGGGATCCTCGAGGTATATATCTCGAAGCTCTAAAACCGGGGGGGGGGGAATATCTCTCCGGCCGAACAAATTTACGGCCTCCCGTTTGACCGTAGCGCCGCGGCTCCGAGAGAGCGATGATTGACAAGATCTCCGAGATCTCTCCGCGCCCACAACTTCCACCGTCGGAATAATCGCGCGCGCGCACGATCAATTAAATACGATCGAAAAACTGGTTTCGAGGAATTTTCGTGGGGTTTATATTTAGAACATTTTTTAACACGTCGTTCGCGAGCTTTTAACGCGATATCGGATTTCAATTTGTATGTTAATAAATGAGATTTATTTTGTTCTCAGTCGATTGTTATATTTCACTTCGAGTGTTCTCGTCTTTTTTCCACGTCCGTTTTAATTTCCGGTGTTTGAGATTTTGCGAAATAAAATATAGAAATTATCTATTTAATCACGAACGGGGGTTCACAACATTACAAAACTAAAAATAAATCGCAATAAGATGGCAAGTATAAGAGCACAAAAATGAAAAAAAAAAAAAAAAAAAAAAAAAAACAAGTATCATTAAGTTAAAAAAAGTAATTATTTCAATTAGCGAACAATTAATACCATGCACGTGTGTGTGTACAGATTATTAACGCGGAGGGGACGAACTCCCGTTCGTCGGTGCAGAAACGAGCGCGAGCGAAATCGCGGTCGGTCGCAATGAAACGGCTCGGCTAGGAAAAGAAGACCCCGTAATTAAACGTACTAAAATTTAACGGTCGGTTCGCCGAACAGACGATCGCCCTGCGACTTAATAAAGCCTCACGGGCGATCGCTCGCGCGCGCGCGCGCGGCACTGAAACGTTATTAAAGCGGCTCTCGCATTAAAATACGAGCGCAGTATCGGTACGTCATTATCATCGACGTTTGATCTCCCACTCTCTCTCTCTTTTCGTTTCTCGTCCGCGTTCTCTCGCCGCGCCTTCCGCCGCCGCCTTCTTGTCTTCTTCGATCTTTCGTCTTTTCTTTCTCCCCCTTCCGCCCCCCTCCCCCCTCACGTCACGGTGCTCTCTCCACCGGCGGCGGGTGAACCTGACCTCTGCGCGAGATCCGGGCAAGGTTACCGAGTTTATTGCGACTTTGGAACGTGCTCTCGTTTCCCGCGAACCAGCCGAATCCTCCTACGTTTCGCCTCCCTTTGATCTGACTCCCTTCTCTCCTTTTTCCCTGGAAGTCTTTCCGTGCGACTAACTGCGCGCTCCTTACACACAGAGCTCTTGCTCCTTGGCCTTCCCTCCTCTCCGGCAATTAGATCTATTGCTCAATTCGGTAATCCGGAGCAGACTGGAGCAGATCGCACATCACGTTGAGTCTTTTAAATTCTTTTAGGCGTTTAGAAAAAAAAGTCGAGCCGGTGAGAGCCAAACGAGACGTAGGAAGTATTTTTCCGTATATAAATTGATGCACACAATCGAATTAAATTTAAATTCAAAAGTTCATATCTCGAATATTTCTTATTTCCATCACATTATATATAAATAATCTGTTTAATCACTTATGAATTTAATTTGAAAACAATTATTGCAAAAAAACACCTTGGCCAGGATTCAAACCTCTGAACTTTTTGCATTTTCGGTGCGGTTGTCTTATCAATTCGACTATCAACACACCTGGTGAATAAAATTAGAATATAAAAATAAACAATATATTAATAAATTCAATAAATTATAAATTATCTCGTTTGAGACTTTTGAAGCTACGCTTGGTGAGAACGATCGACGATGTGACGAATTTTTCAACTCATCTTTGCAATCTCGTGTAAAGACAATTAAAATGTCTTTTTTTTTTTATTTATTATTGTGCTTTATTTACAATAGTAATATTTAGTTTTCGTGAACAAACCTCGCGCGGCGAGGTGATAAATTTCACCGAATCATCATCTCTCTCTCGTCGTCGTGATTATTTTCAGTGTCCAGGGTATTATTTTTCCCCTCGAACTCTTCCCGCGCTTCGTTCACCATCCGCGCTATAGTCCGGTCTTTTTGCTCTCGCTATATTTTTTCATCCCCTCTTTCTTGTTCGGGCTGCGGTTCAAGGTCGTAATCTTCTCGAGACCTCCTTTCTTTCAACCAGTTCTCCGCTTCGTTCTCTCTTCTTTTTGCTCTTTTTCCTCGCCCGTTCCTGCGCCTTCGTTTTTGAAGTTCAAGGCCTCTTTCTTCTTCTTCTTCTTCTTCTTCTTGAATATTTTCTCCCGATCTCTTCCTCGTGCGCGAATTTGAATTCCTTCCTTGACCTTACTCTTTCTTCGAGTTTTTCCGTCATTTGCGTATGCGTTCCATGCTTTTCCGTCACTTCAGATTTCCTTACAGATTTCTGTCCTATTGTCTTCTTTTTTGTCAACTCCTTAGATCGCGTTCTTTGTATTTTTTCAAAATATTCCAAGAGTACGTAGAATCATTTTTTATTTCTTAGGTTAGATTTTTTCTTTTACTTCTTTTATTTCTCCTCGTATTTCAGCTCACATTTGTTCATTTTTTTCCACTAGAAATTTCGTTTGCGTCTTGTTCCTTGTATCGTTGTTCTTCATTTTCTCTCTCTTCTCTTTAGCGTTTTCCTCTTTGAGAGAGGCGTCGTGCCCTCCAGGCTCTGCAATCACATCTAGTTATCCAGTTGTCCGAAGTCGAGGAAGGCGACCCTTTCTCGTTACAAACCTCCTTTCTACGTCCACGTGCAATCATTGTGGCGAGCGATCATTACAAAGTGAACGAAGCGAAAAGTGTTGCTAACTTCGTCGTGATACAGGCCCCGCGGCTTCTTACTCTTCCTCAAGAGACACGTCCTCGCTCTTTTTCTTCGTTCCACATTTTATGATGATAACGCTCTCAGTGTCGTATCCACACTTTTCAAATCTCATGTTACATTTTTTTATTTTTCAATAACGTGTGTTGCACATTAAAAATATCAAATTGCATTCTGTTAATAATAATTATGTACTTTTGATATTTTTATATATATTGTAAAACAGTTAACTTAAACTGTAATTAAATAGATAAAAAATATAAAATTAAAAGTAAATATAAAAGATACAAATTTATTTACAGATGTTTTTATTTTCATGTTTTCAAATTGTATTTTTCTCGTTAATGGGTTTTGCTCGACTTATATAATCCGCAGCTACAGGTCCTGGATAGAAAGACTTCGGAAGGAGAATCCGGCTTTCTTAACGATAGTGTCCTTGGAACTTCCGGAATCGCCGATCCCTTTGATAGAATCTCAAGCAAACGCGCGCTGGAGACGCGTCGACTCCGGCGAAATTACGAACGACAGGGACGACATTCTGGACGAATTTTTGGAAAAAGTCACCGAAGTCGGAAAAGGAAGTGCAAGAGAGAGTCGTGCTTCCGAGAAATATGATGTATCCCGGAAAAATCGACGCGATAACAAAAAACACGAACCGCTAGAATGTACGAAAATGGTCGCCACTCTCGAGGAATGTACGAGAAATATTATTGAAGGTTAGATTAAAAACTCCCGTTCTCTTTTGCGGATGTAAGCAAACTGTAATTTCAGACAAACTCTTTTATTTCTCAAATTTAACTGTGCGAACTCGAGAAATGTCACACTAAAGACACGACGCAATAATTAAGAGTTTTTGGTATTATCGGCTTTACATTTAATTATTTAGTGTTTTTTGTTTGTGTCAGTTATCGGCGACGACAGGACGTCATGTTTTATCTACCCACGCTTGACTTGTTACAAAAAACAAAAACGGCTTTAACGGAGCTGTACCAACAGCTCTCGCTTCTATACTTTGTAAAATCTATCCTAGTCGATCGAGATCAGATTTCAAGGACATTCGCCACAGGATTGCTACAGAACGAATCTTGAAATCGCCTCGGTGTCTCTTTAAAATTTAAAATTAATTTTATCAAATATATAAATATATACATATATATATATATATATATATAAATATATATATATAAATATCGCACGGTTTTCTTAATATTCAACTAAAAAAAAGAAAAATAAATAATGAGATCTGTAAGTACTGAGTGTATTTAAATAAACTATTTTTAGAATGTAAATTAATGGACATTATAATTAACCTTTCAGTGCCAGACATAAAAAATGATCTACGAGTTGTCAACACTGAGAGTCTATGAGATCTTTTTGTTTAAAAATACATAACTTTTTGTGTAATTGAGTTTTACAAACTTCCAACGCAGTTTTGTACAAACTCGTTTGGGGACAAAAGTATCTTGTAAAAATTATAAAATTAAAAACAATTTTACAATAAATCTTTAGTCACGTGTCTTTAAAAAAAAAACGTAATTAAAGTAAAGTAAGGTCATGTAACAGAAAAAAAACAGCACGTGACTAAAGTTACGTGTCTTCAAATTCAATTAAAAAATCTATATCGGATGCTTGATTTACATCTGATGATATACAGAAACAATCACTTTGTTCCTCGTGAATTTAATTAAAACAAAACTTAATTAAAATCACAATTCGAAAATATATATCGGATGCTTGGTCTATACGTCTGACACGTGGAAAACAGTTTTTTTATTACTTGCAAATTTAATTTGAAAAAAAAAAAAACAGAAAATAGAACACAACTTGAGACTTGAAACATTATCGGTCGATTTCAGGACCGAAACGCGAGGGATCCGCTGGGATAGATGCCGACGACGACTGCATATGCTCCGAGATATCGAAGAGTCTTCGAATCAACATTCGCAGGCGGACGGAGGTCATGGCGCGCATTCCGAGTCCGGAAGTGACTCACAACGTGCGAATCGCGACGAAGTGTCGCGACCGGTTGAGATGCGAGATCGCGAACGACGAGAATCTCGAAGAGGAGGACGAGGAGAGAGCGGAGGAAGACGAGAGAAGAGTAACGAAGAACGACGGGAACAAGAAGGATCTTCAATCGAGGCGAGAATCGGCAAGATGCGATGCCAGTCGCCGCGTCGCCAGCGCGACGAACACCGCGTTAGACTTCACGCTAAATTGCAATAGCGTGCGACTGACTTCTCGTGACACAAGCCTGAAGACGCGAAGCGAGAAGTAAGAAACGGCCGGAAACGCAGACTCGGGGAGGGCAGTTTGCGTGGGTTTCCTCTCGCAAAAGCGTTTTATTCACTTCGCGGTGGATGATGCTCCGCGGCTTTAAATAAACATCGTAAAACATAACACCGCTCAATTATTTCCCTACCTGCTTCTCCCGACGTTTCTTCTTCAGCTCGTTTTTTCTCGAACCAAAAAAAAAAAAAAAAAAAAAAAATCCTCGTTTGTACGAAATTTATTTTCTTTGTGAAAAAAAATGCATAACTCTCAAAACAGATAAACAAGCGGATTGTTCTCACGCGCGTTGAATGCAAATTCGTTCCGTTTTTTACATTGAAATGTGGAATAATTCGAATATGATTAAAAAAATAAAAAAATAAATAAATGTCACGTAGGATTTAAGATAATTGCCGCGATACCGCGAACCGACGGTGTTTTCGTTGAAGTCGTTCGAACAACGCGTGAGAACCGAGTTTGATCGATGGCCAAAGAAAAATATCGAATTAACAATTTTGGTCGAGATATAAAATAATTTACAAAGAAAAACCTCGCAGACACAATTCTGAGATATTTGATGTCAGCGGAAAAATTCCAAACAAAAAAAAAAACTAACGTAGTCTCAAAACGTTATAAATTGAATAACAAAGATAACACGCACTACGTTGGCTCTGCGAAATTAAAATTACATTTGAAAAAAATCGGTGCAGAGTCAACGCTGGTTTCTTTGCGCGCGAAACTTGTTGTTCTCTCAATTTTTAATTGTGCAACCACGTGTTTTCGATGTTAAGTATCAGATCTGCTTTTAGTAAACAAAAACAACGTAATAAATATTTCAAAAACAATGAATTAATGTCGAAAGTAATAGAGACGTCGCGGTTGACAATAAATTTTATATGTACGTTACTCTTAAAATTGTCGTCTCGGCGATATTTCCTCAAATCGATCGTCAGTTTTGAAACACGTGTTTCCACAATTAAAGACTCGGCAAAATAAATCTCTTTTTTTTTTTTTATATAAGTTACATATTTCGCTGTACATCCCGTACAAATGCGATCTTTGATTTTTAGTAAACAATTGTAACACACGATATTCTCAAAATCCTTCGAAAGTTAACGAGCTACTCTTTTGTGTGTGAATATTGTGAAAACAACCGAAACAAAAAAGACGCAAATCACTCACCTTACTCGAAGATTCGTCCAACCGCAACGGAACGTTTGAATCACGAAATTCACGAAGGCGGGTGGTGGTGGTGTGGTATCGCGCGCGTCCGAGAGTTTCTAAATTTCGCTCGGAATCGCCGTAAAAAGCCGCTCCTTTTCCGACGCGCCGCCTAAAGTGGGAGGACCGGCGAAACTTGCCTTGTGGAATCGTGAATCTCCGCGCGCGGCAATAAATCGCAATCGCCCGCTTCGATTTCTGCGAACACGCGCGCGCGCGAGAGCGCGGCCGCGCGGAGATACGTCGAGGCGGCCTATTAATTAGCTCGTCTAATAAATCGCGACCGGATCGAGAGAGCAAGAGGGGAGGAAGAAGAAGAAGACAACGCTTTATCGTCTTCTCGCTTTCGATTACGAAAGAAGTGAGAAGAAGAGGAACAGAGAGAACAGAGAGAGAGAGAGAGAGAGAGAGAGAGAGAGAGAGAAAGGGGTGGGAGGAGAGAAGCGCAGTACGCGCCGATCAAGAGGAACAAGAAGAAGAGGAAGCGGCCGAAAAAGAGAGACCGTCGAGTACGAGTTTCGTGGTGGACCAAGCGCGAGATGAGAATCGCGCGTCTAGGCTGGCTCCGAAGAGGGCCGGAGCGAGCTTGGGCCCCAAACCGGGTGAGAGAAGTTGGTCGGGGCCCCCGACTCCATATCTCTCTCTCTCTCTCTCTCTCTCTCTCTCTCTCTTTTACTCTCTTCGTCTTCTGTCTTTCCTCCTTCGCTTCTCCCGCGTCCTCCTCCCACTCGTAGAGCGGCTATCGCGTTTTTATTTTGTCTGTGCCGCGCGCTGCTCTCTTCGTCTCTTCTCTCTCGCTCGTTCCCTCGCGTTCGTAGGGCGAAAATGGTTCATGGCCGTTCCCGAGCGCCGATTTCGCCGCGGATCCTGCGCGGAGGATCGACCTCTAACTCCTTTATCCTGCGCCTCGCTGGCCTCTCCCGGTCCTGCCACTTTATTCGCCACGCTTCTTCGCTCCGGCCGCTTCGCGTCGCGGTTTTTCTTCGCGGTATATATTCCCTTCTTTATGCACGCGATTGCATCGTTCGCCTTTTTTAAAGCGCCGTAATGGAATTTCTGTTTTCTGCCGGGGCTAGATTATAAACCCCACCCCACCTTCGTCTCACGGCGGATGTGTTTTTTTTTTCCTTCATCTTCTTCTCGCCCCCTCTCTTCGTTGAAGTTTCGTTACTTTATAATGAACGCTAGAATAGTGCACGAACGTTCGACCGAACAATGCGGGAGCCGTTTATCAAAAAGAGTCGTAAATCAATTTTTGAAACACGAGGAAACAAATAATTAGACGCTGTTGCAAATTTACGCAATATTTTATTACACGACGCGCCGGTGAAGTATAATCTTCCGAAATTAATGACCTCGTATAAGTTATCAGAGGAGATGTAAAGCGCGGTAAACCCGTACGTGTTAGATCGCGTATCTTTTGCCGTATGTAAATTACACAGTGTCGCACGTTCCTTTCTCTGTCAAGCGTCTTGCAGATTATTTTGTTTTCTTCGGAAAAATTACAATTACGTTCCGTAATCCTATCTCGCGTTGCTTTCTTCTTTTTTTTTTTAATATTTATTTTTTATCTCATCGAATAATTTGTTGCGCGTATTTTTTTTAAATACCGTCGAAGTTGCCAATAACACAGACACGCGAATTAAATGTGTATTGTAAATTTTAAGTTTCCGAGTTTAAAATTTTTTCTTTTTTTAATTTTCCTCGAACGCGTATTTTTCTTTTTTTTTTTTTTTTAGAATCGCACACAGTTGCATATTTCACAATTGACCTAAAGCCGAGCTCATTACCTGCAATTATCGCCTAGTTAAACTCCGCTCGTCGCCGCAGGATGATGATCGGCATTTCTTCCGTAAATAACCCATCCTTTGCGTGTGTCGTCAAGGGACAGCCAAGAAAGACGGAGGGACGGCGTGAAACAACGCGAAAGCGTGTAAGTTCTAATCGCAAAGTGTCCTTTCTCTTGGATCAAATTACCATAAATAATGATCCCTTTTGCAATATTTATAGCATATCCCCGTATACCCTACTGTGTACGGGGCCGCGCCTTTATGACAACGTCCCTCTGCCATATTCTTCAACCCTCGCCCTATCATTTCTTTCGACTTTCTCTTCCGATTCATCACCACACGCGCGCCCGCGCTGTGGTGTCCTGCGCTCCTCCTTTTCATCTGCTCGCTCGAACGAGTCAAGTTTTCCGCCGCTTTTCTTTCCCATTTTTCTCGCCCCCTCCTTTCTGTCTCCTTCTTATTCTCCGGCATCGATTAACGTGTTTATCCGATCGGTCGGGGGTGCAAAAACGCGCGAACGACGTCGGCCCGCAATCGACGTTCGCGGAAGATCGCGGAATCGGAAAACAAAGGGGACTTTGTGCTCCGCTGATGAGACTGCGACCGCCTCTTCTCTTTCTCTCTCTCTCTCTCTCTCTCTCTCTCTCTTTCTCTCTCTTTTTCTTTCCTCGTCGCATTTTTCTTCTTTTCTCTCGGTTATAACGAGGCTTAGGACGAGGAGTGGAGAAGCAAGGAGAGGTGGCAGATAGGGAATTGGTATGTTGATTGTGTGTTTCGTGCTGGTGAAAGAGAGAAGAGCGAGAGAGAGCGAGAGAGAAAGAAAGAGAAATAAGGGATTTCGCTTGTTGCGTGTTCTGGCGTCGCATTCGGCTATCGTGTTGCTAAAATAAGACTAGCTTCGCTGGGGTGAATTAATTTAACGACAGTTTTTTGTTTTTTGTTTTTTGTTTTTCTTTTAATTCAAACAGATAATATAAAATTTATTGCTACAAATAAATATCATAACTCTGCGAATATTTTTCGCAATTCTTTTCCTTCTTCGCGATTACGTTCAATGCGCCTTCGAGACCGTATTATATGCGCGCCGATGGTTTAATGCGCGTTTCGTTTAAAACGCGAACTTGAAATTAAGATATCGAACGGATTCGCCTCTTGAGTGAACTTCGCACTTGACGATGTCGACGGGGCTGAAATTGCTTAGCTCGAATAGGCTGAAATTAATTCTGTCAATTCTTTCTGACAATGGTGTGCCGTGAACAATTGCAATTCAAATAACAATATCTCTCGGATCGATTAGATGCTCGATGAGAATTTACGAGCAATATTAATTGCCGTTTTTCTGAACGAATTGCATGTTGATATATTTTTATTAAATTTAAATAATTAAAAAAACAGAAATATATATTTAGTGAAGCAAATGTTAACTTCTCGTTAAGTCAATTGCAACTAAATAAAAATTTCTGTAAGAAAAAACTTATCCAATTATTTAACGGACAATTTGTTGCAAACGAATCTCGCTAGCCCGACGCGACAAAGTGACGAAGAAATCGACACTTAAAACCGTTCGTCGCGTCAAGAAATCTAGCAATTCCCGCACAGAGGAAGGGGAGAGGAAACACACAGGCGGAGAGAGAGATAAAAGAAGTGGTAGATACATCCTTGATGAGCGATCGTTATCACGATGAAAATGCAGTCTCGAATCGATCCGTTGGCAGTCGATTCCTCTTGGCTCCTTTTATTAGACTGCCAATTTCGTGGCGTCTTCCACGGAATTCTCTTTCCTCTTTTTTTTTTTCTTTTTGTTCTTTCCGATACGAAATCTCGCTGACTCGACCGTCGACAAAAATTCCTCCTCTAATCTCGAAGTGACGCCTTTTCGACGCTTATCTCGAAACGACGACGTGACGTCATACACGCGGCGCACATGTTAAAGCGTAAGAAGAATAATTCGATTATATGCCGACGTCGAGCACACACACGGATTTCACACAGTGCTGCTCTTGTTATCCGATTTCT